GATGGAAATCCAAGTTTAGTTTCTTGATGGCCCAATAGGCCCTATGCTCTATCTCCACAGGGAGGTGGCAAGCCTTTCCATACACCAATCGAAAAGGAGACATGCCAATGGGAGTCTTATAAGCGGTCCGATAAGCCCACAAAGCATCCTCCAAGTGTAAAGACCAATCCTTCCTATTTGTGTTCACCACCTTGGTTAGGATTTTCTTGACTTCTCTATTTGATACTTCGGCTTGGCCATTAGTTTGGGGATGATATGGTGTAGAGATTTTGTGATGCACCCCATATTTAGCCAAGAGAGCCTTCATCATCTTATTGCAAAAGTGGGATCCTTGGTCACTTACCAAGGCCTTAGGAACTCCATACCTACAAAAAATATTAGATTTGAGAAACTTCAAAACAATCTTAGCATCACAAGTTCTAGTAGGAATGGCTTCAATCCACTTTGAAACATAATCAACACCAAGTAATATGTACTCAAAACTAAAGGATGGTGGAAAGGGACCCATGAAGTCAATGCCCCAAACATCAAAAATCTCACAAAATAAAATGGGTTGTTGAGGCATTTCATGTCTCTTACCCCAACTACTAACCTTTTGACATTTCAAGCATGCTTTACAAAATTCATAAGAGTCTTTAAACAAGCTAGGCCAATACAATCCACAATCTAAAACCTTCCTAGCTGTCTTATTTGAGCTAAAATGACCACCACATGCATGAGAGTGACAAAATTCAAGAACAGAAGGCACATCAACATCATCAACACACCTCCTAATCACTTTATCACTACAAATCTTCCACATCAAAGGTGGTTCCCAAATGTAAAATCTAGACTCTCTTTTCAATTTTTCAATGGCAAAACGTGAAGCACAAGGAGGCAAGACTCTACACTCAATATAGTTAGCAAAAGAGGCATACCATGGAGGCTTAGATGAAATGGCACACAATGCCTCATCAGGAAATGAATCACAAGGAATAGTAGGGTTAGAGTTTACCATAGTAGCTTTTAAATGAGGTAGTCTAGACAAATGATCCGCTACTTGATTGGTAGAACCACTCCTATCCCTTATCTCCACATCAAATTCTTGCATTAAGATCACCCATCGAATCAAGCGAGGCTTAGAATCTGTCTTCTTAAACAAGTACCTCACAGCAGCATGGTCAGTGTACACAACAACTTTAGAGTTAAGAAGATATGATCTAAATTTATCAAGTGCAAAAACAATAGCAAACAACTCTTTCTCAGTTGTGGTGTAATTAACCTGAGCTGAATCTAGGGTCCTAGATGCATAAGCAATCACATATGATAACTTGCCCTCTCTTTGACCAAGCATAGCTCCCACAGCAAAATTAGAAGCATCACATGACAACTCAAAAGGTAAAGACCAATTTGGGGCTTTAAGAATGGGAGGGGAAATGAGCATGCTTTTCAAAGTGTCAAAACTCCTTTTGCAAGCATCATCAAAAACAAAATCAACATCTTTTTGTAAGAGTTTAGACATAGGCAAAGCAATTTCACTAAACCCCTTTATAAATCTCCTATAAAAGCCTGCATGTCCCAAAAATGATCTCAAATCTTTCAAACAAACAGGATATGGCAAAGAAGCAATCACATCTACTTTGGCCTTATCCACCTCTATGCCATTGGAAGAAATCAAATGGCCTAAAACAATTCCTTTATCTACCATGAAATGGCATTTTTCAAAGTTAAGCACAAGCTTCTTTTCAATGCACCTACCAAGCACTTTATCTAAAGAATGCAAGCATGAATCAAAGGACTCACCATACACAGTAAAATCATCCATAAAGACTTCCATGCAATGTTCAATAAAATCACAAAATATGGACATCATGCATCTTTGAAAAGTACCAGGTGCATTGCAAAGACCAAAAGGCATCCTCCTATAGGCAAATGTACCAAAGGGGCATGTAAAGGTAGTCTTATCTTGGTCACTAGGAGCTATAGGAATCTGAAAATACCCACTAAACCCATCTAGGAAGCAATAATGGGACTTGGAAGCCAATCTCTCAAGCATTTGATCAATAAAAGGCAAAGGAAAATGGTCCTTCCTAGTCACATTATTGAGCTTCCTATAGTCTATGCACACTCTCCAAGCATTTTGAACTCTAGTTGGAACAAGCTCTCCTTTCTCATTTTTTACCACAGTAATCCCCCCTTTCTTAGGTACAACTTGGGTTGGAGACACCCACTCACTGTCAGCTATAGGATAGATGATCCCAGCACTAAGTAGCTTAACAACCTCTTTCTTTACCACATCTAAAATCAATGGGTTAAGTCTCCTTTGTGGTTGCCTAATGGGCTTAGCATTGTCCTCAAGAAAAATTTTATGTGTGCACACAATAGGGTCAATACCAGGAATGTCAGCCAAAGTCCAACCAATAGCATGTATGTTCTTTCTCAACACATCAAGTAATGCATTTTCTTCCTCAAGAGATAAAGAGTTAGAAATTATTACCGGAAGCTTCTCATTCTCAATGAGATATGCATACTTGAGATTGGATGGTAAAGGCTTCAACTCCAAGGTAGGTGGCTCTACACAAGAGGGAATGAGCTTCTTCAAGTCTAATTTGGTGGAATATTCCATGGTACTATCTTGTCTTTTAGGCTTCTCACTTGTTTTTGATTTCTCCTCTTCTTTCTTTACAGCCTCCCCCTTTTCTTGCAACTTGTCCTCAAGTGCTTGGACTTGAGCCACGGCCTCGACATGTGAAAGTGTAGAATTTTCCTCCAATAGCTTGGGAATCCTAAGAACATCAAGCTCGAGTGGAGAAAAACTCATAGATTCGGCCTTAATGGCTTTAGTACCTACAACACAAGAAGATATACCCTTCTCAAGCATTTCAAGATCAAGCATAGGAGATATTTTAAACAAATCATGAGAAGAAGTAGTTGCATCATTCAAGCATGCATCAATCTCTAAACAAATAGGACAACTACATCCATCAATACATGTAGTAGTAACAAGAGACAAATCATCATCAACATGTGAGAAAGAATCAAGCATGTGAGACTCACAAGCATCATGAAGCAATAACTCAATGGAACTTACACCTAACAAAGAATAATCCTCAAAAGGATGTTTCATTGCTTCATATATATTAAAAATAACATGATCCTCTCCACATTTCAAAATCAAACTACCTTTTTCCATGTCAATCAATGTACGGGCAGTCCTCATAAATGGCCTTCCTAAAATCAAAATATCATCCCCACTCCCTTCTTTTGACATATCAAGCACATAGAAATCCACAGGAAATAATAGACCTTTAACACAAACCAACAAGTCTTCTACTACTCCATGTGGTCTTCTAACACTTCTATCCGCTAATTGGCATATCATAGGTGTCTTATGCATGCAATCAAGACTCAAGGCATGATAAATTGAAAGAGGCATAACATTAATGGCTGCACCTAAGTCTATCAATGCATGAGAAAAATGTGTGTTGCCAATCTTGCATGGAATTGTGAAGGAACCGGGGTCCTCACATTTTATAGGGAGTTGAGGCTTCATGATAGCACTCACAGATGAGGGTAATTGTACCCTTGCATTAGGCCTAAATTTTCTTTTATTTGTACAACAATCTTTCAAAAATTTGGCATACTTAGGAAAGTTCTTAACTACATCCATCAAGGGTACATTAACATGAATCTTGTGGAAGAAATCATATACCTCTTGATCAAATTGTCCCTTTACTTGCTTAGGGACCACTTGTGCTTGTGGAAAAGGAAGCTTCTTCATAATCTCTTGACTTTGCTTTCCTTCTTCCTTCCTTGAACTCTCCTTTCTTGTTTCACTTTGCTCGGCCTCTCCCTCTTTTTCCTTACTAAACAACTCGGCCATAGTCCCCTTTTCCACCTTAGATGGTGGTTGCTCACATATGATCTCCTCAATGTTTTCATCCTCATCATCTCTACAAAAAGATGCATCATTAGGAGCAAAAGAAGAACTAGAAACATTAACATCAATTGAAGAATTTAAAGAGGGCTTCTCGGCCTTCCCTTGTCTTTTGTCTTCTTGTACTCTTTCTCCCAACTCCTTGCCACTCCTCAATGTGATAGCATTAAGATTAGCTTTAGGATTAGCAACGGTGTTGGATGGTAATGTAGAGGCTTGAGCATTGGCTGCACTTAATTGGTTAGCAAGCATATTCATTTGAGAAGTAAGGGCATCAATTTTAGAGTTCATGTTCTCACACTTGTTACCCATACTCTCTACCTTGTTCCCTAAGCCATCATACATGTTTTTATACAAAGAGTTCATTTCAATCAACTGCTTACGTAACACATTCACATCATTAGAAGAGTTCGAATTAGAAGAACTCTCAATTGGAACAAGCCTCCTATCACTATAAGAATTAGAAGAAGGTGTAAGAGAATTACCACTTGGATTGTAGCTTTGAGAAGAGCTACCTTGAGACAAATGAGGTGGAGGGTCACGGCCAAAGGTGTTTTGATAGGATCCTCTTTGTTGATTGTCTTGTAAAGCCACATTTGGATTTGAATAGGAGAAATTAGGATGGTCTCTCCATGAAGGGTTGTAAGTATTAGAATAAGCTCCTTGCCCTTGCCTCCCACCATAGGATTGTTTTCCATTGTAGATAGCATTTACTTGTTCAAACTTAATAGGACAATTGCTTTCTACATGCATAGGTGAGTCACAAAAAGTACAAGAATAAGGGACAAGTGCTTGAGAAGTACTTACATTGCTCACTTGAGATATTTGTGGAGCCAACATTCTCCCAATCTTGGCAGCTAGCAAGTCCACATATGAATCATTAAGAACTGAGGAACCTACCATATTCACATTTCTCTTTTCCCTTGTAGAGTATTGAGCACCACTTGAAGCCATCTTGTCAATTAGTTCCCAAGCCTTTAAGGAAGTGAGGTCAATCAAGCATCCACCACTAGCGGCATCAATGTTAACTTTGTCTCTTGGAATCAAGCCCTCATAGAAATATTGGACTAAATTCTCACTAGAAATTTGATGGTGTGGGCATTTAGCCAAAAGGCCTTGGAATCTAGTCCAATACTCATAGAGACTCTCATCCTCTCCTTGTTGGACCCCATAGATTTGCTTTCTCAAATTGGTGACCTTGGAATTTGGAAAGAATTTATCTAAGAAGAGTCTTCTTAGCTCGGCCCATGTGCTCACTTTCACATAAGAAGGGTAGTTGAAATACCACTCCTTTGCTAAACCTTCAAGAGAAAATACAAAAGCCTTAGCTTGAACATCATCAACATTTACATGCATAGGCTTCATAGTATCACAAACCAATAGGAAAGTATGCAAAAACCTATGACAATCCTCTCCTGGTAACCCATGAAATTTAGGCAATGCATTAATCAAGGAGGATTTAATTTCAAATTGAACATTAGTAGGAGGAACATATAAGCCATAAGGATTATCATGCCAATTAGGTTGAGTTAATTGCCTAATGCTCCTCTCCTCTCTAGGGTTATGCAAGCCTTCAAATTCATTATTAACATGGCCATCATCATGCAAATTCTCATTCCCATTCCCATGGCCCTCATTATGCACATGCTCATGTCCTAAGATACCTTCCATTGTTGAATTACAAACCAAATGAGAATCAAGAATAGGTTGTGATCTTCTCAATCTAGAAATAGTTCTTTCAATTTCTGGATCTAATTCAACAAAAGAGGTATGTTTTCTTCGGGTCATGCACTAATCAAGCTCAAGAAAATTAAGAACAAAGAACAAGCTAAACTAAAATGCAAATCAACATGAAACAATTCAAAACACACAAAAGCAAGAGAAATAATTTTTTTTATTTTTTTTTAAACTCAATAGCAACAAAATGAAAAAAAAATAACACCAAACAAGTAGAAAGAGAGTTAGAAATGCTCAATCAAGAAGCTTTGGCAATTCTGGAATTCGCACAGTAGGCTCTCTGGAGACAGTGAACTTGTGAATTTTCTATCAGCAAATCCACATGATAAATTCCCCTGAAACTTTTATGAGAAACACAAGAGATATACAGGAAAATTATATAAAACTTTTAGATTAAAAATCCTTCCCAATCGTTCCCAGAATTTTTCACAAGTTGGTCCTCAAGTCTGGAGAAACAGGATTTCGTCCAGAAGACCTTCAGAGCTTCTAACAAACTTTCAAATAGGAAAATGGAAAAATTGAAGAAAATCCTAAACACAAGAAACAAAGATAAGACAGCGATAAGAAAAATGAAACTGGAATCAATCAATTTGAACGCACAAAGAGGAAGATATGCTAACTCAAAGTTGAAACAGGGTTTTGGAATCCTCTGTAATGGCTCCCTGGACCTTGTTAGATTGTAAAATTTCCACAGGACACTTCCCACGTCCAAAATTGACCAAACCAATTTTAAAGTGAAGCTAGGATATAGAGCTTTCAATGAAATAAATTTCAAGTTCAAATTCCCTCAGACTCATTCCCAGTTAATTTTTCAATTTCAGACAGAGACACTAGAAACAGAGTATTTTCAGCTCTACACCAAACCAACGAAAATTGCACTAATTTTTTTTTTCTTTTTCAAAACAGAATAAAAACACTCAAAACACACAAAAAACACTAAACAAAACACAAAACACAAATTTTTATAATTTTTCAAAAAATTTTCAGGAACACTAAAAATGTAAATTAAGTACTAAACAACCTTAGAATTAAACTTAAACCATTCCCCGGCAACGGCGCCAAAATTTTGATAGGAAATTAGTCGCTTATCCTCAAAATTACACTAAAGCTAACCCTAATGCAATATAGGGCCAACCCTAGGTCATCTCCCAAGGAATGGTTTTAAGTCTAATTGAAAGTTATCTAGTGAAATAAATCAACCAAAGTTTGTAGGAATTTAGTTATCTAGCTAATTATCTAAACTAATTACCTAATATGCAAGTAATTAAAATGCTAGTGAAAGTGAGTGAAATGAACTTCCCTTTTTACAATAATGGAACCCTAGAGATTAGTTGATTTTGGACTCATTATCTTCTCATGATTAGGCTAAGTTTAGCTTCCCTTTCCTCTTGACTAAAGCTGTCATGACTTAAGAAAATTATCCTAAGCCAATTAACCTAATTAGCTAACCTCCCTAGGTCTTAGATTAAAGTCCCTAGTTCAATTAACCAATTGGTGAAGACATTAGCCAAGTGATTCACTCAAAATCCTCTCTCAACAGCCATGGTCAAACACATAAATTGAGCAACCACAAGATTATGTCAAGCTACTCAACAACACAAGCATTAACACCACAAGATTATGCAATATTAACACAAGAAATTCACTAATTGAAAAACACAAGATTATGTGCCAAACAAAGAGTGGCAAAATTCAGTCATGGCTGTCCAAGGAAGAAATTAAATGAAACAATCCTCTCTCTTTACATCAACATCAAATTCAAATTAGAATTTATAAGCTAAGATGATTAAACCCTAGATTAAGGAATCTAACCATCTAGTAAAAAGAGAAGAGGATAGGAAACAAAAGAACTTAGCCAATTTGAAGCTCAAGACTCATCCTCCATCTTCATCTCTCTAGGATTCCACAAAGAAACTTAGCCAATCTTCATCTTCAAGAACCCTAGTGATTGCTTGTGAAGGCCAAACTCCATAGCTCTTGAATGATGGAAATGAGCTTCAATCCTTGTGAAAATGGAAGGGATGGAACGAAAATGAAGAGAGGAGAAGAATGGTATGAGTTTTGTGGAGGTTTGGTGGCTGAAAATGGAGGTTAGGGTGCTGGAAAATGAAGAACAAAAGAGAGAAAATGAAGAACACTATGAACAAGAGAGAGAGAATGTGGAAGATGAATGAGATATGTGTTGGATCCCATTTGGGACTTAAAATGGCGTGCTCCTTGGTGTCTCCCATCAGCTGAAGCTTAATTAAAATAAGGAAAAAGAAATTAAAATGTAAATGGGAGCCTTGTCACACTTGCAAGGTGGCAACTTCCTATTGGTTTGTAGATGATTCCAATGTGTGCCTAATTTCCCATGTGTCATCCACATCATTTTAGCTGATCTAATCCCTCAAAATAATCATAATTCACGTGCAAACCATCAGCCATTGTCCTCAAGGAGTGTTGACCTCAATTGCCCAATTGATGCACAAGTCACATGCCACCTATGTCACATAAATCACATAATTCAATTAAATAGCATATGATATAATAAAATCTAATTCATGTCCAGAATTAAATTCATAATTAGAAGGGAGAATTTATTAAATTAACCAAGTTTTAGGCTGCACAAAATTATATAAAAATTTTCACACAAAGGCAAACCAAAAACTAGGACAAACTAAGACACTTAAGAAAGTGTTGACTTTTTTATTTAATTACTCCCAAACTAAAATGAATTTTAAAAATATAATTTCACCATTCATCAACTGGACATAAAATGCACTTTGTCAATTTTTCTTGTACATTTTCTCAAAAGTTCATTTTTTGGACCAAAATGCCCCTAGTGCACTGATCTTAGAAACTTAGGCAAAGTTCCAAATCTAATGCAATGTGTGCACTTGAAGGTGATAAATCATTAATAAAATGGTCCTAATTGACAAATAAAAGTGGGTAACAAATGTGTTCTATCACTTGGCATGATGTTGAGAATGAAGAGGGGCTAGATTTGTGAGGGTGTTATGAGATTGATCCTTTTTTAAGGTCTAGTAAGATAATCTATAATGGTATTGTGATTTTTTTTTATGTGTCAGACTATAAATTTATAGTAAGAGAACTAGTCCTTCTATTGAAGGAGTTAAGCTTTAGGGAATATCTTTCAATTTTGATTGAGGATCTTAAAGAATGATGTGTTGTCTATTTCTACCATTATTTCAATTTTCATTGAGTTAAGCTTTAGTCTTAGTGGATTCTTCCTCAATAGCTTAGGCAGCTAGCTAGTATGATGAGACACTTCAGGAATAAAATCTTTGATGTAATTTACAATACCCAAAAATTGTTGGATTTGTGTTCTGGATAAGTTTTCATTAGGAAAATTTAATAATTCCTAAGCAATATGTGGGCTAGGCTGGTATAGTTCATCTTGAATAATCATCCCTAGAAATTCTACTTGGGCAATACTAATATGACCTTTATAAGCTGAGAGCATGATCCCATACTATTGAATTATTTTGTCGAATTTAGCTAGTAGGATTTTATATTCTTGCTCAGACTCTGAAAACAATATTATGTCATTAATGTACACTAGAGCATTATTGATAATGGGCTCAAAGATCTAAATCATGGCCTTTTGGAATAGTGATGGAGCAGTTTTAAACCTAAAGGGCATAAATATCCATTGATATTGGGCATTAGGAATGTAGAAAGCTATCATATACTAATCTGTAGGATCTATTTCTAATTGCCAAAATCCTACTTTGAGGTCAAACTTTGAAAATACCCTTGCTTGCTTTAGATGGACTAATTTAGTATTGATTTTCGAGAGAGGAAACTTGTCATCTTGTACAAAGGCATTCAGAGGCTTATAATCAATTACCAGCCTCTTCTTTCCTCTTTGTTTCTTGGATTTTTTTCAACAGTGAAGGCGTGGAAAACTCAATTTGATTTGGTTAGTTCAATAAGCCCTTATTTAAGTAAAGTTGCACATTCTTCTCTTACAAGTACAAGATCTTTAGGATTTATCTCAGGATTAGATGTTTTTGTTAGATTGATGTCCTCATTCTTTTTGAAAGGAAGCTTGATGAAAAACTCCCTATTTTTCCACATAAGGGATGGATGCTAAAATTGATTATGGCTTTCACAACAAAATTTAAGAAGTTAATCCCTGATGATTTTATACCTTGGGATAGCTTGTTGAATTTCCCTAAGACTAGGAACATCAGTGTATTCTCTGAAAAACTTTTTGAATTTGATATCTTTTGGAAGTATCTATAGATTCTTAGTTTGTCAATGTACATTAAAACCAATAAGAACTTCTTTAGTAGGGAGATTGCTTCCAAGAATTTTTGTCTAAATAATCATTAGGGGAAGAAGCTTATCCAAAGTAGATAAAGCTAATTGGTAGATTTCTTTGAGAGAGATCTGGGACATATCTCTTCATAATGCATTGATAGATTTATGTAATTATGGCTAAAACT